TGACTGACAATGACATATTCGAGTAGGGATAGAAGAAAGGTTCATGTAGTGGTGGACTGACAATGACATATTCGAGTAGAGATACAATAAAGGTTCAGGTATTGGTGTACTGACAATGACATATTCGAGTAGAGATACGACATAGGTTCAAGTAGTGGTGGACTGACAATGACATATTCGAGTAGAGATACAATAAAGGTTCATGTAGTTGTGTACTGACCATGACATATTCGAGTACAGATATAATAATGGTCCATGTAGTGGTGTACTGACAATGGCATATTCGAATAGAGATCCAATAAGGGTTCTTGTTGTGGTGGTCTGACAATGACATATTCGAGTAGAGATATAATAAAGGTTCGTGTAGTGGTGGACTGACAATGACATATTCAAGTAGAGATACAGTAAGGGTTCATGTACTGGTGTACTGGCAATGGCATATTGGAGTAGAGATACAATAAAGGTTCATGCAGTGGTGTACTGACAATGACCTATTCGAGTAGAGATTCGATAAAAGATCATATAGTGGAGGACTGACATATTCGAGTAGAGATACAACAAAGGTTCATGTAGTGGTGTACTGACAATGACATATTCAAGTAGAGATACAATTTAGGTTCAAGTAGTGGTGGACTGACAATGACATATTCGAGTAGAGATACAATAAAGGTTCGTGTAGTGGTGGACTGACAAAGACATATTCGAGTAGAGATACAACAAAGGTTCATGTAGTGGTGGACTGACATATTCGAGTAAAGATAGAATAAAGGTTCAGGTAGTGGTGGACTGACAATGAGATATTCAAGTAGAGATTCCATAAAAGTTCATATAGTGGAGGACTGACATATTCAAGTAGAGATACAATAATGTTTCATGTAGTGGTGGACTGACAATGACATATTCGAGTAGAGATGCAATATAGGTTCGTGTAGTGGTGGACTGACAGTGACATATTCAAGTAGAGATACAACAAAGGTTCATGTAGTGGTGTACTAACAATGACATATTCGAGTAGAGATACAATATATGTTCAGGTAGTGGTGTACTGAGAATGACATATTCGAGTAAAGATAGAATAAAGGTTCAGGTAGTGGTGGACTGACAATGAGATATTCAAGTAGAGATTCCATAAAAGTTCATATAGTGGAGGACTGACATATTCGAGTAGAGATACAATAAAGGTTCAGGTAATGGTGGACTGACAATGACATATTCAAGTAGAGATACAACAAAGGTTCATGTAGTGGTGGACTTACAATGACATATTCAAGTAGAGATACTAGAAAGGTTCATGTAGTGGTGGACTGACAATGACATATTCGAGTAGAGATACAATAAAGGTTCAAGTAGTGGTGTACTGACCATGACATATTCGAGTAGAGATACAACAAAGGTTCAGGTAATGGTGGACTGACAATGACATATTCAAGTAGAGATACAACAAAGGTTCATGTAGTGGTGGACTTACAATGACATATTCAAGTAGAGATACTAGAAAGGTTCATGTAGTGGTGGACTGACAATGACATATTCGAGTAGAGATACAATAAAGGTTCAAGTAGTGGTGTACTGACCATGACATATTCGAGTAGAGATACAATAAAGGTTCAGGTAATGGTGGACTGACAATGACATATTCAAGTAGAGATACAACAAAGGTTCATGTAGTGGTGGACTTACAATGACATATTCAAGTAGAGATACTAGAAAGGTTCATGTAGTGGTGGACTGACAATGACATATTCGAGTAGAGATACAATAAAGGTTCAAGTAGTGGTGTACTGACCATGACATATTCGAGTAGAGATACAATATAGGTTCAAGTAGTGGTGGACTGACAATGACATATTCAAGTAGAGATACTAGAAAGGTTCAGGTAGCGGTGGACTGACAATGACATATTCAAGTAGAGATACAATAAAGGTTCGTGTAGTGGTGGACTGACGATGATATATTCAAGTAGAGATACAATAAAGGTTCATGTAATGGTGGACTGACAATGACATATTCAAGTAAAGATACATTAAAGGTTCATGTAGTGGTGTACTGACAATGACATATTCGAGTAGAGGTACGATAAAGGTTGATGTAGTGGTGTACTAAAAATGACATATTCAAGTAGAGATACAATAAAGGTTCATGTAGTGGTGGACTGACAATGACATATTCAAGCAGAGATACAATAAAGGTTCATGTAGTGGTGGACTGACAATGACATATTCAAGCAGAGATTTCAAGACATGTAGGATAACAGGTCATTTCAGGGAAACTTTCATTACAACCCATCAACCAAGGTTGCTCAATTCCTTGTTGCAAGTAAGGGAAGAATATCTGACATGTATATGTGATACATTATCTAGCATCTGACAATTACACAAAATATAGTGTATTTTGTATTTCACATACATTAAAAACCATAGACATCCCCCTGTTTTAATTGCAGATGCGTGCACTGTTGCAGAATCTAAAGCAGTATGGCGATGCTGTACAAGGTGAGAACGGTTTCAAGGATACTGACTTATAATGTAACATGGACAAAAGAGCTGTGAAAATAGTCACACGAAATAGACAGTAACCAACTATGGAATATAATATGTTGGTTTTACAAAAGATATCCTTTTAAGAGCATATACATAACATACACAGGGGAAATAGTTTGTCTGATTTTACATTTATTGGCTATAAATGTTTTATTGGTTGTTTCTTTTTCTTATAGATGAAAAGAAAAAAATGGTAAGTTTAATACCCCTGATTTGCTTAACATTTACACGTGGCTGGTTACTTTATAGAGGATATTATATGAGTGCCCATGTAATCTACCGAGCAAGAGCGACGGATATACCGATATTTAGGCACGAGTGTCGTAAACATAGTATGATATGGGAACGATGTGTTGTAAACATAGTATAGGGGCAAGAATATTATATTCTGTTTATTACCGAAGTCGTCAAATTGAGGAAACTAAACCCAACTCTACTTTCAAAAACAGGCTGGCTACCCGCCGTCGCCGCATGTAGAACGCAACTTCACAGAAGAAACGTAACGTCACAGCATTGTTCATGACGTCACGTCACCATGACAAAGTGATATTTTGCCCTAGGGCATCGTGTGAAAACCCCGATATTTTCGCCCTCGTAAGTAATAAACTCCAGTATGTAACCAAATTTCTCACCTTTGTGCATTGCAAATTATTTTAGGAAAGTTATTTGAGTATTGATTTTGCCATGATTAGAAACTGTAAGCTTTGATTATAGCTGTTGCGCAGTGGAATTGAAAACTAAACTAACTAAAATTAAAGTATCCAAATATGCTATATGGGGAACTAAACGTGACTCTCTTGATTAAACTGATGAAATAATTCAAACAAGAAAAATGGGGAACTAAATGTGAATCTCTTATATCAAATGCTAATGAGGCAAGAAACTTAATGTGATATCTTAAATTCTATTATCTTAGCATCTAGTTCTATAGCAGCTAGCTATATGGAACTTCTATTTCGATGCACTAATACATTCTTTATATCAGTCTATCTAAATGCTATTTTGACGAGCTGTCACCCAACTCAAGAAACAACCGAACTCAAGGGAAACCTGAACTCAACTGACGTCTAAACTCAATTACGTCTTAACCCAAGCATAACCTGTACACAACTGACCGATTCGACCGTTTCCCACGTGGTCAAGAGCACGTGGTCTGACCGCACGTGAAAAGTCATGCTTCTCGGTGAACCGCGAAGCATGGTGCGTTTACGCGATCTGTTCCAACTGTTTTGTCTCCAGACCAACAGCTTAGGTCCAACCATGTAAATTGTGTTACTGTTCCAACTGAGAGTTGTTTTTTTTACGTGTTCCTCCATTTTGTACTGATGATTAAATGCAAGAGATGTCAAAGCGTCAGCTTAAAACACAGGTTCTATTCCCATTTCTTGTCTCTCCCTATCGTATTATTGTTGGCAGTGTGCAAACTGTCGCCACATTTTAGTCGGTCATTCATTCATCAAGAATGTCGACCAGTGTTGTCCCTTATTACTAATAATGCCCAAAACTTACTTTCATGTCTGTGGTTTCACAAATATCATTTTCATTATCATCTTTTAAGGTGAAAGTTAGTTGTTCGTTTACGAATACCATGTGCGTATACATATTCTGTTTTGAAATTATTACTTCGCCATTTTCTCGAGATATACACAAATAGAATAGCCATGTTACTGTTTATATTACACATGCACGTATACAGGGTCACAGTAAACTGTTCCAAAAACATATTGTTAACATAATTTCTCTTTTATTCTTGGTTTAAACTAAGATACACATGGTGTTGGCTGAAGTTTCGTAACTGTTCCTTTATCCTTTGTCAACTTCAGAATGAAGGCCTGGAGAGACGGTGTTTGTATGATTTGTGATCAGAGAACAGATGAACTGGATTACTCTCCCATATGACTATTGTTTCCCCATTCTGACACTAATCCATGTGTCTCCTGGAGACCTGCAGATGAATGCATTCCAAATTATATGACAAACAGCGCTGAGAGCTCGACTGGAGATTTCCGTTCTGGTCCAGATTCGATTAAGATTGTAAGATTTGTACTTTAGCCTAAGTCAGAGGTTGATGCTTTCTCATAACTTGACAAATGAATGTAAAATATCATATAATACAATTGTTGTTACAGATCAAGAATATTGAAGTTGAACAAGCAAAACAGAGACGCCAATTTGAAGGTATGCATAATACAATAAAACACAAAGAGGTTATAACTACATGTGTAAGTAAACATTGTTCGTGGTTTGTAGCTGATTTAAATGCCCACAACCATCAAAATTACCCTTTACGCACTCGTGCTGCTCTATTAAAAAGTTTGATTTAAATATCTGCAGCCATCCACATTATATTCATTAACATGAGCTATTTTATAATTCGTGCTGCTCTATCAAGAGGTTTATGGACGGCTTAACAAATCATATCCTCTGAAGCAAATCATAATACACGCTTATTATCTTCAGATGAACGGAGAGAAAGAGAAGAATTACAAAGACAGGCAAGTACTACTCCAAATACCTCACCTTATTAATAATGAAAACTTCATCTCCTTAAGCATATATTTACCAGGTGACAACAGTTATTTCCATCATAAATCAGTTACCTGAAGAGGTGTCAGTTTTTTTCGCTCGTTATGCATTATATCATAATTAATGGTGGAAGGGTGTCACAAAGTGTCAAATTAAATTCACTCACCCATTCATCACGGTTGTTGACCAGTGTTGTCCCCTATTATTGTTAATGTCCATTTCTTGTGTCCCCTGTCGTGACATTTCTGGAATATTGCTAAAAGTGACGAAACTAAACTCACACACGTATGTGCACTCACTAAAAGCAAAAACCTACTGTCATGTCTGTGGGTTTACAAGTATCACTTTTATTATCTCCCTTTACTATGGATGCTAATTGTTTCTTTATGAATACCATATGTTTATACATTATGTGTTTTTGAAATGACTGCTTCGCCATTTTGTCCATGCTACTGTTTATATCACGCAGATTTGCAGATGTACAGGGTCACTGTAAATTGTCACAAAAACATAATAACTTAATTTCCGTGTTGGAGCGAAGATATCAATGGTGTTGGCTGAAGTTTCGCAATGTTCTGTTGTATCAATTTCATAGCGAGGGGATGAATGGAAGGTGTTTGTATGAGCTTTTGATAGGAGAGTTATGATAACACTCCCGTGTGACCCTTTCTCCTCGACACTCGCTCGCACAGGAACACCACAATTTCACCTTCACAGGAATATATTCCAAACATAACACAGACGCTCAACGCACCTTTCATCAGTACGTTTTTCAGTCACCTGGGAATAAGCTTCTAGCAATACGTTTTTGCAGCACTTCCATAATCAACACCCGTGCAGACAATATTACTGGTTGCAGCATTAAACAAAGAAAACACAACCCATACGATTCATGCGGTCTCACCTTAGGCAAGTGGGTTTGTTCAAAATTGCCTCTGTTCAGCCAGCAGAAAGTAGGTAACCGGAGGGATAAGTTACCACAGGCAGCTTGAGTTTATCATATGTGATAGCGCTTTGAACGTGCACAAGTGTGTGGAAAAGGTCTTTATAAATGGCGATTATTATCATTAAACGTGCTAATATATATATGTTTTTTAAACAATAAAACACAATCCATATGCAAATATATCATTTTTAACGATAGACTCCCTGTTGATGACAGACACGAAGTAAAAAAGTATGTGTCTAATTATGAGTACATGTTTGTTTATTTAGCATAGGTAAGATGCGGATAATTACTCATAACCTGGTAAATGAATGTCAAATATATAATACTAATGTTGTTACAGATGCAGAGAATAGAAGACGAACAGGCAAGACAAAAACGCCAATGTGAAGGTATAAATAATACAATAAAAACACGTTAAGTTATATCAGGCGAATATACATACGTAATTACAAATGTTTTGTGGATATCTACTTGATTTAAATGTCTACGAACCTATTCTCAATGACATGAGTATTTATGCAACTCTTGCAGCTCAATCAAGAAGTTTATTATATATGATATCCTCTGAATGATAATACACACTCAATGTCTTCAGATTTACGGAGAGAAAATACAGATTTACGGAAAGAAATTAAAGAATTTCAAAGCCAGGCAAGTATTATTCCAAATACCCCACCATATTAATAATGAAAACAAACAACCCCTATCAGCATATACTGTCCAGGTGACAGTAGATATTTCCATCATAAATCAGCCATTACCACATGTCACCTGAAGACACGTCAAAGTATATTTGGCCCACTATGCATCTTATCAGTTTAGTTCCCTATCAAATGTATCGAACTCATCCTGCATGACTGACGTGAGTGGTTTTGGAAATCTTTGCGTTTTTATGCAGCGAAACAAGTGAATTAATAAAAGGTTGAAACTCAGGTGTATGAGATTTGGTAGCTGATTAGAACTTTTCAAAGATAAAAAAAACTTCAGATCAAAGAAGTCATTGACTGATATATTAGAACCTTAAAAGGTGAATGCATGAGTGAACCCGTTTCTGAGTACAGTACACTTTTCATTATGCGACAACATTATAGAGCTCTGATGGATCTCCCTCCTTGTCCTTTCGTTCATACAGAAGATTGCAGTGGATGCACTGTCGTCCGAATCAAAGAGGTTTCACTGTATGGATATTGTTTAGAGGTCATGAATTTAAATGTGAAATAATTAAGTTTGTCTGTTTCATTGACATCATCACCTATAAGCAGACGAAACTACACGAGTGTAATTCTTGATTACAGATACAAAACCTCCTTGAGGTGATCGAGGAAAAGGACAACGATATCAGACAACTTAAAGGTACGTTATAAGCGAGGTAGTGCATACTTCTAGTACTCTGGTGTACGTAGGTCTTACTGTAAAGATTTACTTAGAGAAACACATACACGTTTGCAAATCATCAGTGAAATTATAAAACACGTACACTACAGTCATGTTTTTCATTTTTAACAAAAAAGCTAAAATAAATAACTATGCTCACAGTTCAACACTGCATATAACATGTAAACACTTTATTTCTGGTTTTAGATTTAAGGACAGCAGCAGCAGAGAGCAAGGTAAATACGACATGTATTCCTGCATCCTTGTGAATTAAACTCTTTTTCTGTCAGGTAAAAATATTCCTCTGATTACTTAACCTATCAGGTAAATACTCCTCTGTTTACTTAATCTGACAGGTAAATACTCCTCTGTATACTCAACCAGACAAGTAACTACTCCTCTGTATGTCCAACCAGACAGGTAAATACTCCTTTGTATACTCAACCAGACAGGTAAATACTACTCTGTATTCTCAACGTGACAGGTAAATACACCTCTGTATACTCAACATGACAGGTAAATACTCCTCTGTATACTCAACATGTCAGGTAAATACTCCTCTGTATACTCAACCAGACAGGTAAATACTCCTCTGTATACTCAACATGACAGGTAAATACTCCTCTGTATTCTCAACCAGACAGGTAAATACTCCTCTGTATACTCAACCAGACAGGTAAATACTACTCTGTATACTCAACATGACAGGTAAATACTCCTCTGTATACTCAACATGTCAGGTAAATACTCCTCTGTATATTCAACATGACAGGTAAATACACCTCTGTATACTTAACCAGACAGGTAAATACTCCCGTGTATACTCAACATATCAGGTAAATACTCCTCTGTATACACAACATGTCAGGTAAATACTACTCTGTATACTCAACCAGACAGGTAAATACTCCTCTGTATACTCAACATGTCAGGTAAATATTCCTCTGTATACTCAACCAGACAGGTAAATACTCCTCTGTATATTCAACATGACAGGTAAATACACCTCTGTATACTTAACCAGACAGGTAAATACTCCCGTGTATACTCAACATATCAGGTAAATACTCCTCTGTATACTCAACATGACAGGTAAATACTCCTCTGTATACACAACATGTCAGGTAAATACTACTCTGTATACTCAACCAGACAGGTAAATACTCCTCTGTATACTCAACATGTCAGGTAAATACTCTTCTGTATATTCAACCAGACAGGTAAATACTCCTCTGTATACACAACATGTCAGGTAAATACTACTCTGTATACTCAACCAGACAGGTAAATACTCCTCTGTATACTCAACATGTCAGGTAAATACTCCTGTGTATACTCAACATGACAGGTAAATACACCTCTGTATACTTAACCAGACAGGTAAATACTCCTCTGTATACTCAACATGACAGGTAAATACTACTCTGTATACGCAACTTAACAGGTAAATACTCATATACACAACCAGTCGCACTAACGTTGTATCATTACAGGTACAGGGACCTCAGGATGCAGTGCAAGAGAAAACCATCCAGGACAAACACGGAAGGGAAGAAGGAAAGACAGGTTTGATCTCTATAACCTGTTGAGAACATTATTCTCTGCTTAAATTTAACGTTTACCCAGTATCGTGTGGTCTTGCTTTAATACTGTAGTTTATGTAGCCACATAGGCTTACTGGTGTAAGGGAGATAACTCTATACGGGAGAATAACTTCTTGTTTGCTGCAGACGGGGCAAGCCTTATGCTCTGGCTTGTTCACCTTCCTTTTTACACCATCCCACCCACCACAGGGCGAACATACAATAACATCTCATGCATTTCGAATGTGTGGTGTTTCAATCAAAACGTTCCCCATGATATTTTAAAGGGATTTCAATATGGGGCTACTGTGAGCGCGTGGTAAACTGCTACTTTCTCCACCTATCGAATACTCAACACAAAGAGGCATAACTCTGTTTAAGAGACAACTGTTGATATGCATTCGTGACCCACTCGTGTTATTTCCATTCGTCACCACTCACCCCATTTCCGTAACCTCCAAGAAGACTCGTCCCTTAGACTAATGTTTAGTCTCTGAATATATATAATTTCGATAATAACAAACAAGCCCATTTAAATTGAAAAGGAGCCCTAGAAGGACCAGAGATTCAGAACCTGAGGAAATCTAGACTTGCTTTATTTAGGGCTTAAGCACTGCAGAGAGGGCTTGGCAGTAGGGTAAATAATGTGGTTCAGGGACTGGGAGACAGACTACTCGTCGCCCTATCGATGAAGGTTTTGTGCGAAAATCCGACAAACCAATCAAAACGCACTGAAAGATTGAGGTATTTGAAATATCCCGAGTACTTAAATCGGTCATGTCATGTTGTGATTGTTTAAAAATCTTATAAAATTTATATCTAATGTATAAGAAAATAGTTAACAAAACTGTGTTGCCTAATTTGAAATTATTAGTAAGGATAGGACCACGAACGATGACTGATTCAAATACGGTATTTCCTCTAATAAGCGCCGGAGCTCTAATAAGCGCCGGGGGTAAAGCAACTCACTAACAATATTACGGTAATGACACCCAGTAAGCACAAAAGCGCCGGGCCTCTAATAAGCGCCGGTTCTGAAAGTCCGTTGAAAAATTAAGCGCCCGGACGCTTATGAGAGGAAATACGGTGCACACGTGCGTTTGGATCCAAAATGAGTGTTTTTCTGACGACCCGACATTTGTGGGTAATGTAATAAATAGCGACGAGTTTCAAAACAGTATATTTATGCATAACTAATCAACTTTAATCTTAAACACCGTGCATACTTTTCACTTCATTTGGGATATTTTAGTCTGACGTTTCTTGGGGTTCTTCATGTTGTTTTAGCGTTTTCAATTCAAATCATGACTGGACTCTCTACGACTCCTTGAGATTGAGATATGTTTTAAGTAATTCTACTGTCTCTATTTTGATACTTATAAAAACATGTTAATACTTTCAACTTGTTTCTCTATTTTGAAACTTTTAAATACACGTTATGCTTGCTTAAAACAGTTGAGACGTTTATGTACACCAATAAATCCTTCCAGAGGATCACGAGCCGGTATTCGGCTGGTCCCGGAATAACCAAGTGGGTCACGAATGTAGCTGCTTTTTAAAAGATTTTAACTTGTTTTAAACAATACAATAACTTCCTAAATGACAGTTAGTCCCCCGTTGACATTCAGACTTTATTTCTGATCTGTTTTCTTTACGACAATAACAATGCGACAACCGATACCCTTCTTTCTCACCCAGCCAGTGTTGGGCCACACAGCACTGTTACCAGTTTGAATAGCTCATTGTGACGAACAGCGGAGTGCCTGACTCTGAGGGTGTGGGATCGAATCCCGGATGGGACTCAACCCAAAAAGTACTAGAATTTGTACTTTACTAAGAAAGTGTAATCCCAAATGTTGCGGAGTTACACTTTCATTCTTGGGAACTACCTTGACTGTTATATGATATTGATAATATTAGGAGAGAAAGCCGAGACATCTTTTCACTTTTCTTTGTCAATACTGAGGTAATTATATATTTTGCGGATAGTAACTTTGATCGACTGGCCAAGGCTCACAGATTGACTGGCAAACGCAAACGCAAACGCAATAATGTTGGTCTCGTCGCCATATGGCTGAGATCATGCCGATGCGAGGGTTAGATTTTTTACTATGTATACAGTTCAATACTTACTCTTTGAACACACTTCAGTCAGTACTTTCATACATACATACATACATACATACATACATACATACATACATACATACATACATACATACATACATACATACATACATACATACATACATACATACATACATACATACATACATACATACATACATACATACATACATACATACATACATACATACATACATACATACATACATACATACATACTAGGGCTCTCACGAGTACTTGGGGCCGAGTCGGGTAAAGCAGGACTCGAGTCCAATTGATTGGACTCGAGGACTCGCAGGGGAGATACCTCTAAACATCTCATGCAATCAAGATGGATGACCGTGAGAAAAAATCCAATGTCTGGACGCATTTTTTCTTGATTTAGTGGCCAAAATACGAAATGCCGTCTTTGTGGTGTTTCCTTTGGTTGCGCAAGCATTTGTCCTGTAAGCACCCACAATAAGCACTGTAAACCAGCTCAACAAACAACGCTGGGTCAGTTTGGTAAGTTTGACAGCAAAAGTCGTAAGCCTGTTGACAGGAAATGGTATGAAGGTATTACGCAAAAAGCAATGCTTAAATGCGCGTTAAGGATATGCGACCATTAAGTATTCTTAAAGGGGAGGGTTTCAGGGCTTTCTGTGAACCATTGAACTCAAATTACCAGGTCCCATGTACTGCGACAATTCACAACTACCTCATAAAGACGTATGAAGTTTGCAAGGAGAACAAAATATCAGTACCCAAAACAGTACCTGCCGTTGCCCAAACTACGGACGCGTGGACAAGCGTAGCCACTCACGGCTGTATCACTGTCACTGCCCACTATATCTTTGTTTGAACAACTTGTTTTCTACAAAGATATTCAGTCGTTCTTATCCAGCGTATTTCAATGTTACATATTCAACAATCAACACATACATACGCATTCAAAATAACATTCACACTTGGAGACCTATATCCTTAATAGTGAAAATTTTAATCACAATGAATACCATTGACGTGATCTCCGTTCAGCAGAGTTTTGAAAAAAGAAATACAATGTAGTGTTACTCAATAAATGGTTAGTCTTTAGTTTGAAACCAAAACTCTTTCACGATAAGAAATCTCAAATAAACATCGATCCTGTTTTACATATTCTTTAAGTTCCATAGTCGATCCATCTTTACAGGATACTAGTATCTAATGCAGCACCAATCAATGAATGCTTTATCTATGTATCTTCCAGCTTTGGAACGTGTTTTGCCGCATTTTAACCGTGATTAAGGTTAATTGGTTATGTGACTTATCGTCTAGGTGAATGTTTAAAACTTGGCAATATGTCGTAACTGCAACGACATATTAATATTAGATAATCTTGAAAGCGCAGTCAAACTTAAAACCAAAAGAAAAGAGAAGTATATTGATTGGTTTCTTTTCCCGGACACATCCAATCATATTACATCATTTACAGGCGTAATAAAGTATCACCGGGCCAGCTCATGAATATTAATCACATAACTGATCGCGTAGAACTGGGTCACAGTGACACTTACGTTGCCTTCACATGTTGTTTGCAATCATAAAAAGGTAATGGATACTTCCATTGAAATTGAATATCAATTGCTTTATTCAGGAACGTTTGGATTCACATATACATGTTGCATTATTCGTAGACTGGAAGTTGGAACAGCTACGTGTATGCTTGAATGTTGGTTTCAGATAAACATCCAAATTGTCGGGTACTCGGGTCCGAGTCGGGTCTGACACCTCGAGTACTCGAGTCCCAAATATTGGACTCGTGAGAGCCCTAATACATACATACATACATACATACATACATACATACATACATACATACATACATACATACATACATACATACATACATACATACATACATACATACATACATACATACATACATACATACATACATACATACATACATACATACATACATACATACATTTTGTTTCCGTTTATAACTGAAGCAATAAATATTAACACATAATAATAATTAAAACCAGATATATGTACATGAATTCGTAGTCAGTAAACTAATAAAATTGTACGGTCATTAAAAATGTCTGTAGTTCTCAGAGTAAGTTCTTTATTAACCGTTAGTTCAATCCAACAACGATTGTAACAAGCCTTATCGTTTTTCGTCAGTCACAAATAAGATTAAAACGAACGAAGAGCTGCTCGCTGGTCACTGCCGCGAAACTGCATCTATATGTCAAGTTACGTCATGTTGTGACGTCATATATCTTGCACCAGGCCAGGTTTTCGGAGAGGCAGAAGTGCGGGGAATGTGAATCTTATATGAGATGTAATGTAAGGGTAAGTAAACTGAAAATGTGGAGGCAGCCATCATAAACATGGGTTATTGTTTGGTTTGTATGGGGCCATATATTTATTCAGTGTCCAAATTACTAGGTCACCTTAGGTTATTTGGAAGTATTTCGGCAAATGTGTATGTTTACCACCCTGGCTGCCGAGTCTATTATTCTGAGGCACATTTGTTGTGTACTAAATAGTGAACGTTGTGAAGGAATTCAGTCACGTAAAACTGGGTCTCCATTTAGATGTGGGTATATGCAGATGGAGAATATTGGATGTACAAATTCAAATACACACACACGCCCTTGTTTACATAGCGACTCTCGTGTTATATAAAACAAGTTTTTATGGATAACAACTTCTTTATTTCGTGACAACGGTACAATAATCTGTATCGAAACGTCGCACTCACGAAATAAAGAAGTTGTTATCCATAAAAACTTGATCTATATTGTACGTCTCAACTTCTAAAATGCCACACAAACAAGACTCTCGTGTTTTTGTGCAGTGCATGTTTCGAAACACAAATGTCATCTGATCAGTTACTTATGTCACATAATGTGGAAATAGATAGGCATAGATCGACCTTTGATGTTGCCGTCCGGCAACACAGAACCATTGAGAAGTCCTTCAGACCGCTTGATATGAAACATGACGGGATGTGAACGATGTCTATTAACTGAATACTAGAATATAGGTGTACTTGCAGAATACTGAATGAGACCGATGTATCTACAGGGCGGGGCCTGCTCCTTTCTGTTAAAAAGCGACAAACGAGAACAACAAGATTCTCTAACTGGACAATTTAAAGTCTTCGCTTTAAAGTAATTAAATATCATCACAAGAATATTCCATTATCATATCATTACACCTTGTGTAAAACCTAGTTGTTGAAGTATCCATATATATTTGCCAAGTATCTCATATATTGCCGGCTGTCAGGGTAAAGGTGGAGTAGATTGTGACAGTTCTACATTAGATCCGGTTGTGAAAGCCAACTGGATAGTGTATCGTATATGTTATGTGTAGTAGTAGACCTCTACATAACCAGTAGTACTATAAACCAACTGGATATATTGTATGTAGATCTAGTACTAAACTACCAACTGGACATATCGTGTGTAGATCTAGCATTAAACCACCAACTGGATATATTGTATGTAGATCTAGTACTAAACTACCAACTGGACATATTGTGTGTAGATCTAGCATTAAACCACCAACTGGATTTATTGTATGTAGATCGAGTACTAAACCACCAACTGGATATATTGTGTGTAGATCTAGCATTAAACCACCAACTGGATATATTGTATGTAGATCTAGTACTAAACCACCAACTGGATATATTGTATGTAGATCAAATACTAAACCACCAACTGGATATATTGTATGTAGATCTAGTACTAAATCACCAACTGGATATATTGTATGTAGATCTAGTACTAAACCACCAACTGGATATATTGTGTGTAGAACTAGCACTAAACCACCAACTGGATATATTGTGTGTAGATCAAGAACTAAATTATCAAGTGGATATATTAAATGTAGATCAAGTACTAAACAACCAACTGGATATATTGTATGTAGATCTAGTACTAAACCACCAACTGGATATATTGTATGTAGATCTAGTACTAAACCATCAACTGGATATATTGTATGTAGATCTAGTACTAAACCACCAACTGGATATATTGTATGTAGATCTAGTACTAAACCATCAACTGGAAATATTGTATGTATATCTAGTACTAAACCACCAACTGGATATATTGTATGTAGATCTAGTACTAAACCACCAACTGGATATATTGTATGTAGATCTAGTACTAAACGACCAACTGGATATATTGTATGTAGATCTAGTACTAAACCACCAACTGGATATATTGTATGTAGATCTAGTACTAAACCACCAACAGGATATATTGTATGTATATCTAGTACTAAACCGTCAACTGGATATATTGCATTTAGATCTTGTACTAAACCACCAACAGGATATATTGTATGTAGATCTAGTACTAAACCACCAACTGGATATATTGTTTGCAGATCTAGAACTAAACCAACTGGATATATTGTATGTAGATCTAGTACTAAACCACCAAATCAATATATTGTATGTATATCTTGTACTAAACCACCAACTGGATATATTGTAGTTAGTTCTAGTACTAAACCACCAACTGGATATATTGTATGTAGATCTAGTACTAAACCACAAACTGGATATATTGTATGTAGATCTAGTACTGAACCACCAACTGGATATATTGTATGTAGATCTTGTACTAAACCACCAAATGAATATATTGTATGTAGATCTAGTACTAAACCAGCATCTGGATATATTGTTTGCAGATCTAGTACTATACCACCAACTAGATATATTGTATATAGATCTAGTACTAAATCAGCGTCTGGATATATTGTTTGCAGATCTAGTACTATACCACCAACTAGATATATCGTACATAGATCTAGTACTAAACCATTAACTGGATATATTGGATGTAGATCTAGTACTAAACCATCAACTGGATATATTGTATGTAGATCTAGTACTAAACCACCAACTGGATATATTGTATGTAGATCTAGTACTAAACCACCAACTGGATATATTGTATGTAGATCTAGTACTAAACCACCAACTGGATATATTGTATGTAGATCTAGTACTAATCCACCAACTGGATATATTGTATGTATATCTAGTACTAAACCGTCAACTGGATATATTGCATGTAGATCTTGTACTAAACCACCAACAGGATATATTGTATGTAGATCTAGTACTAAACCACCAACTGGATATATTGTTTGCAGATCTAGTACTAAACCAACTGGATATATTGTATGTAGATCTAGTACTAAACCACCAACTGGATATATTGTATGTATATCTTGTACTAAACCACCAACTGGATATATTGTATTTAGATCTAGTTCTAAACCACCAACTGGATATATTGTATGTAGATCTAGTACTAAACCATCAACTGGAAATATTGTATGTATATCTAGTACTAAACCACCAACTGGATATATTGTATGTAGATCTAGTACTAAACCACCAACTGGATATATTGTATGTAGATCTAGTACTAAACGACCAACTGGATATATTGTATGTAGATCTAGTACTAAACCACCAACTGGATATATTGTATGTAGATCTAGTACTAAACCACCAACAGGATATATTGTATGTATATCTAGTACTAAACCGTCAACTGGATATATTGCATTTAGATCTTGTACTAAACCACCAACAGGATATATTGTATGTAGATCTAGTACTAAACCACCAACTGGATATATTGTTTGCAGATCTAGAACTAAACCAACTGGATATATTGAATATAGATCTAGTACTAAACCACCAAATCAATATATTGTATGTATATCTTGTACTAAACCACCAACTGGATATATTGTAGTTAGTTCTAGTACTAAACCACCAACTGGATATATTGTATGTAGATCTCAGTACTAAACCACAAACTGGATATATTGTATGTAGATCTAGTACTGAACCACCAACTGGATATATTGTATGTAGATCTTGTACTAAACCACAAAATGAATATATTGTATGTAGATCTAGTACTAAACCAGCATCTGGATATATTGTTTGCAGATCTAGTACTATACCACCAACTAGATATATTGTATATAGATCTAGTACTAAATCAGCGTCTGGATATATTGTTTGCAGATCTAGTACTATACCACCAACTAGATATATCGTACATAGATCTAGTACTAAACCATTAACTGGATATATTGGATGTAGATCTAGTACTAAACCATCAACTGGATATATTGTATGTAGATCTAGTACTAAACCACCAACTGGATATATTGTATGTAGATCTAGTACTAAACCACCAACTGGATATATTGTATGTAGATCTAGTACTAAACCACCAACTGGATATATTGTATGTAGATCTAGTACTAATCCACCAACTGGATATATTGTATGCATATCTAGTACTAAACCGTCAACTGGATATATTGCATGTAGATCTTGTACTAAACCACCAACAGGATATATTGTATGTAGATCTAGTACTAAACCACCAACTGGATATATTGTTTGCAGATCTAGTACTAAACCAACTGGATATATTGTATGTAGATCTAGTACTAAACCACCAACTGGATATATTGTATGTATATCTTGTACTAAACCACCAACTGGATATATTGTATTTAGATCTAGTTCTAAACCACCAACTGGATATATTGTATGTAGATCTAGTACTGAACCACCAACTGGATATATTGTATGTAGATCTAGTACTAAACCAGCATCTGGATATATTGTTTGCAGATCTAGTACTATACCACCAACTAGATATATTGTATATAGATCTAGTACTAAACCAGCAACTGGATATATTGTATGTAGATCTTGTACTAAATCACCAACCCGATATATTTTGTGTAGATCTAGTACTACACTACCAACTGGATATATTGTATGTAGATCTAGTACTAAACCACCAACTGGATATATTGTATGTAGATCTTGTACTAAATCACCAACCCGATATATTTTGTGTAGATCTAGTACTACACTACCAACTGGATATATATTGTATGTAGATCTAGTACTAAACCGCCAACTGGATATATTGTATGTCGATCTAGTACTAAACCACCAACTGGATATATTGTATGTAGATCTTGTACTAAATCACCAACCCGATATATTTTGTGTAGATCTAGTACTACACTACCAACTGGATATATATTGTATGTAGATCTAGTACTAAACCGCCAACTGGATATATTGTATGTCGATCTAGTACTAAACTACCAACTGGGTATATTGTCTGTAGATCTAGTGCTTACTACTAAACCACCAACTGGATATAGTGTAATGAGCTAGTACATAAATCATGACAGAAAATAAAGAGGGAGTACAAAAAGAACAACTAGATATAATGTACAGGTCTTGTGCTTGTATTTAAAAATACAGGGTCTTGTTACACAAAAACTAGCATCAAAGTACTTTTAACTAAGACCAGAGACCATATTTAATGGTCTCTGCTAAGACCCAGCATAGACAATATACGCATATGGTTTTAATGTTACCATCCCGAATTCTTAAAACCTACTTCACATTATTTATAGATCTATTGCTAATGATAAACTGAATATAATGTATGAACCTAGCATCTGTCGTTCCTGAAATCTAACTGTTTTTCTTCAGCCTCCAGTGAAGTGACAGGGAGGGGAACCACCGCCACAGGGACACGAGCTGATGGAAGTGTTGCCAGTCAAGGAGGTGAGAGCAGTAGGCAGGACTTTGGTACTGGAATGTCACGCCAGTGTCAACACTTGTATCACAGATCAGGATAAGTTATTGTTCCACATCAAGGAGGTGAGAGCAGTAGGCAGGACTGTGGTACTGGAATGTCACGCCAGTGTCAACACTTGTATCACAGATCAGGATCAGTTATTGTTCCACGTCAAGGAGGTGAGAGCAGTAGGCAGGACTGTGGTACTGGGATGTCACGACAGTGTCAACACTTGTATCACAGATCAGGATAAGTTATTGTTCCACGTCAAGGAGGTGAGAGCAGTAGGCAGGACTGTGGTACTGGAATGTCACGCCAGTGTCAACACTTGTATCACAGATCAGGATAAGTTATTGTTCCACATCAAGGAGGTGAGAGCAGTAGGCAGGACTGTGGTACTGGAATGTCACGCGAGTGTCAACACTTGTATCACAGATCAGGATAAGTTATTGTTCCACGTCAAGGGGGTGAGAGCAGTAGGCAGGACTGTGGTACTGGGATGTCACGACAGTGTCAACACTTGTATCACAGATCAGGATAAGTTATTGTTCCACGTCAAGGAGGTGAGAGCAGTAGGCAGGACTGTGGTACTGGAATGTCACGCCAGTGTCAACACTTGTATCACAGATCAGGATAAGTTATTGTTCCACGTCAAGGAGGTGAGAGCAGTAGGCAGGACTGTGGTACTGGAATGTCACGCGAGTGTCAACACTTGTATCACAGATCAGGATCAGTTATTGTTCCACATCAAGGAGGTGAGAGCAGTAGGCAGGACTGTGGTACTGGACTGTCACGCCGTTGTCAACACTTGTATCACAGATCAGGATAAGTTATTGTTCCACGTAAAGGAGGTGAGAGCTGTAGGCAAGACTGTGGTACTGGAATGTCACGCATGTGTCAACACTTGGATCACAGATCAGGATAAGTTATTGTGAAGGAGTTGATACAGTAAATACAGAATGTTTTCATTCACGTCTAAATACTGTTGTATACATTAGGTCTGAACAAAATGTACAGTGTAATTTCCTGTGTTTTATTGATAGACTGTGACATCGTGTGTACAATGTACAAGTATTTGCTGTATTGTATTGATAGACAGTGACATCGTATGTACAATGTACACGTATTTTCTGTATTGTATTGATAGACTGTGACATCTTGTGTACAATGTACAAGTATTTGCTGTATTGTATTGATAGACAGTGACATCACGAGTACAATGTACAAGTATTTGCTGTATTGTATTGATAGACAGTGACATCACGTGTACAATGTACAAGTTTCTGTTACAGAGACACAGAAAGACTCCAACTCCCACCATGACGCCGCCCTCCTTCATGCCTGCCGTGTTGGGAACATGGCCGAGGTGAAGCTTGCCCTGGATTTGGGTCAGGTGAACGTCAACTGTAGAGGATGGTGTAGCCGGACACCGGTGATGTGGACAGCAGGGCGGGGACACAGAGATGTGGTGGAGCTGCTACTGAGTAGAGGAGCTGATGTGTCACTGGTGGACATGTACGGTAACAACACCTTTCACTTGGCCTGTAGTGGAGGAGATGTGGGGACGGTGGAGTTGATGCTGTCCCTGGACGAGGTGGACGTCAACTGTAGAGGAGAGAGGAGCCGGACACCGGTGATGTGGACAGCAGGGCGAGGACACAGAGATGTGGTGGAGCTGCTACTGAGTAGAGGAGCTGATGTGTCACTGGTGGACATGTACGGTAACAACACCCTTCACTGGGCCTGTGGTGGAGGAGATGTGGGGACGGTGGAGTTGATACTGTCCCGGGACGTGGTGGACATCAACGCCAGGAACAACCGCTGGCAGACAGCGGCCGACGTGGCGAGAGGCAGGGGACATCATCAACTGGTGGATCTCATCGTGTCTCATGATGCTCTGTGAAGTCGTGTGGTGTGGTGTGGTGCAGACAGTGACGTGGTGTGTGCCGTTCACGTCGTCGTATTTACATTGTGGGACCAAGGTTAGAATTATTGTTGTGTTTGAGGAGAAATAAAACTTGTTGAAAACATTTTCAGACATTTTGTCATTTGTTTTCATGTGGATGTTTTCATGATCAGGTAAGAAGATTGTTGACTGAGTGCAATATTTATATACAACATGAAAGTTGACATAGTGGCGGACATTTATATGTGATTTATGTGACAAACTGAGTCACAGATATGTGACAAACAGACAACAAACTGTTTGTTTACATCTCGATCCACTCTGAGGCCATGTTCGCCCAGCTGACGGGGCGCCAAATGTACAGTGACGGTGACGTCACAATGCCTATGACGTCATGGCTGTTACCCAGCTGCCAGACAGGGATACGGGAGTTTGTTTTCAGTTTGTTACAATGAACATAACTTTATTTCTCCTAATGTTGTTTTCTTGATTTGGCATCAAGTTGGACAAAGAACATCCATCTATATATATTTACAATCTGGTTAGTGCAAGTGTGTGGTCAACCGCACCTTCAACGTAGAAGACTTGTACATGCAAGCAGTCACACCGGCGACGGAGTCGGACAGGTCGCACATCGGGTTTTCCATTCACACCTAAATGAACCGGGGTAAAAACACAATTATATTGAACTTGTCTAACTTGGTAATTAATTTCTGATCCACATGGAATCTGCGTTATCAAGAAAATGCATATCATACAATATTTAACACACTAGAGAACATATATGGTGTTATACAAACGTATCTTGTTTACGTCAGCTGGCTGTCTACCGTTCGGTGCTGCACTGTGATGACGTCGGTTTCAAATATGTATACATTGTATACAATGTTACAACGGTCTAATATCTTCACAGTGTCACTAAATTGTATAACATTCAACTTGAGTTGATTATTTTTCAAACAGCGTCTTCAAATGTATATCCTCCTTGCCTTGCCTTGCCGTGTCGGTTTGCAACTTTTCCACATAAATCATTATATCGAAGCCTTCGAAATGCTTAGTAAGCTCCCTGGTTTGAAATCTTGATGTCCGACAATTCAAATCACTGTATAAAGTACACTTCCTTGCGATAACAGATAGATGCCATCCATGTCAAAATGAAGAGTCACTGAAAATTGTCGGTGAGTTAGATTTCCCTCCCAACCAATCCTTCTGAAATAGTCAGTGTATTTGACGTCAATACCAAATAGACAGAAGTGTTTAAGATTAGTTCATGCGCAGTCTGTCTACAAAGTAACGTTACACAGAACAGTTTAGATCAAACATCTGGTTGAAAATCCTGATCCTCCTATCTGGTTATGGCCTGAAAAGCAGTTGTAAGATGAATCAGTTTCCACAAGCAAATCTGTCGGGGTACATAGCCCCAGTCAGTCTCCGCATACCTGTTGATTATAAACTCATACCTATGACGGCCCTGTTATTCCTGGTGCCATAGCGACTGACTCAGGACAGCCATTGTTCGGATACACATTTATTTCCAAACACACCCAATTATTTATTTGATGCAAATCGCCATTCTCAATCCTCATCTTCACTATCAACCCGTGCCACTCATCAGTGAGTGTTGTTTATAGGCCCTGTTTTTGCACGGAAATTAACCTTTTTGTCTTGCACTTTTTCTGCATAAAAAGTGTTTGTCAAGCAGTCTCGAAGCCACAACGGTACAGATATCATAAGTGACTAATTAGGACATTTGTAGCCTGAACTGGTTGTAACGGTTAAGGTACGAAGATTCGTTCTTTATGGCTGTAGAAAGAACTCGGGGTGTGTTGACGAACAGCTCATATGCGAACACAGGTAATACTATTTAACAGAATAGCATAATTATTTTACGCTTTACCTGATAGGTAACGTTTGGGAAATAACATGTAAGTTTTTGCTATTACTATTCAGAACCCAGTTTGCGCTGCGCACAATGTTTCTTTCACTAGTTCAATACATGAGAATGCGCTTTTTTGCATGGCCGACAGACAATATGCTGTCGCAGTGTTACTTTTTTCCGGTGCTAGGAAAGTTAGGAAATTCACTAGTCTATTTTCAAAGAATATAATTAAATGTATTTTCACTTCCTATATAGGCATTCTTTGCAGAGTACAGGTATTTTATAAAACTGTCAGGAGTTTGCTTTTTGTTGAGTATTTTACTAGCTCTTCACTTAACATGGCTGTGCGATGCACGTGTAAGCATAATCTATGCAAGAGTATCTTCCCTGTGAAAGTTATGTGAGTTTTTTCAAAACATACAAATCATAATGTAAACTGATGTTTATCTGATGTTCTCTATGGTAAAACGTCCAAAGGCTGCGATGGGAGACTTTCTGCTTGACTTGGCGACGGCAGAAAGGATGTGGTGGCGACGGCAGAAAGGATGGTGGTGGCGACGGCAGAAAAGATGGTGGCGATGGCAGGAAAGATGGTGACAACTGTGGCGACTGCAGGAAGGAAGGCGACAAGCGTTTCCTTTCGTTTTCTTTCAACTTTCTTTGTGAAATTATTTGGAGAAATGAAAAAAAAAAACACTTGAGTTGAGTTCTATTTTCAGTCAATACAATTTTAATAACTATCATTAGATGTCTTGATGTAAAGTGATAATTCTGTTTTAAGGTCTATCTGCCGTAGATGTATTTGGTAACATTAAAATAAACTGTTCTTTCTGCACGTTCTATCTGCGGTAGAAAGCACCGAGTCGCGTTCTATCTGCGGTAGAAAGCACTCGCCATAAATAGAAATATCACTTTACACTAGGCAATAGAGTATAATGGTCTCGCCCAGTTCTTACTTGCTGGGGGCGGTGGGGTAGCCTAAAGCGTTGACTCGTCACGCAGAAGACCCGGGTTCGAATCCCCACATGGGTACAATGTGTGATGAAGCCAATGTCTGGTGTCCCCTGCCGTGATGTTGCTGGAATATTGCTAAAAGCGGCGTAAAACCAAAACTCAGTCAGTCAGTCAGTCTTACTGGCTGGTTTTGGTATAGTGCATAACAATGGAGTGACGTCACATGAGTTTTATAAGTCCCTTAGTCG